ATAACCTGGGTTAAAAAGTGAGAAAAAGGATTAATTTGAATCTGACATAGACCAGCACAGATTCTCCAACTCTAGACCTGTTTATAGGTCACAACTATACAAACCTGTAAGAACACACACACACACACACACGTGGGGAAATGTTTTATTCTACAGGGATGGAGGAGATCCACACCTCGCTTTAGGAGAGCAGCGGACCACCAGAACCAGGAGAACACCTGGAAAACATGCATTTATCAACTCCACTCTCTTTTCTATAATGAGCTAACATTCTGCCTTTTTAAAGTGTTTAACACAGGATGAAGCAGAGACCAGACTCAGAGTCTCTGTGGAGCCAGATGGAGGGACAGCAGCTCCCTGCTGACCAGTTGGGACTAAACTTTGGGACCTAACACTGACCTGTTGTTAAGGCAGCCTCAGGTTTCAGTCAATCATCATCATCACACACTCTTAGCACATCTACTGTTTAGAAATCAAAATAATCACATTTAAAAATGTAGAAGTTAGGCCTTTTGACCAGGTCCTCCAGATTATTTTCTGTTTCTCATGTGTCCCCATGGAATAAATAAAGGACTGCCCTCCCCCTGACTCACCACCTGATCAGACTGAACCTCTGTTACCACCACCAGGTGTCCATGCTCCAGTCCATCAGGGATGAAGAATGATGAACAGCTCAGGTCTGTCGGGGTGTCCAGGACCTGTCCAGACCATGTTAAACCCTTTAAGCTTTAATAGGATTAAATAATAGGATAAAACAAAATGATTAAAGAAGAGTCCCTCCAGACCTAACCAGCAGCAGCCATGTCAGAGCGGGGCCTTCCTTCCAGGCTCCTCCAGAGGAAGAAGAGAACAGGCCAGCCGGGGGCTCACTGAGACCCCCAACACTCTGAAAAGAAAGGAGGAGAGCAGAGGGGAGGGGACTAGAGAAGGAATGTTAGTTGTTATAGACCACAGTAATCCATCTGTCCACCTCTGAAAGGAAAAAATAAAGCTGGAGGGGTTAATACAATGAGACTGGGCCTGGACTCGTTTGAAAAATACAGTTTTTGTCTATTTGACTTTTACAAATTATAATCTAATAAGGTCTGCTATTTAAATAATGAGCACCACAACTGTTGTTTAAATGCAATAATCCCTTAACAAGTACGTGTTCACAAAATAAAAGAAACTGATTGAATATTTAGTATAAAAGTTTCATTGAATGATGACTTACTTAAATTTCGATCAGAATTTTAAAATTATTTTGAAATTAGTATTCTAGGATTAACTCAGAACTCGATATGTTATCTGTGGGCCCAGACTCTCAATATGACACTTTATAACAAGATTTGAGCCTCTCTGGCCTTTTTATTGAAGCTCATGCTTGAGACCTAAAAACTGGAATGGCTGCTCCACTCAGAGATGAGCACAAACTAAAACCAGGTGCTTTGGGTGTTAGTACTCACAGATCCATGGGTTTGTTTAGCAGAGGCAGAAAGGGAGATGAGAGTCCCACGATGCTAACAGCAATGAGCTTTAACCCAAGTTAAGTCACAATGAAGCAGCTCAGTAAGACCGGACTCACCTGAACACAGACACACCAAAACCGTCTGTGGCTCTCTATAGTGAACGCCTTCTGGAAGCACATCCCCCAAACTGAGAATTAATATGGAACTTTATTTCATACTGAATAAGCATTAGCTTGCTTTATCTTCAGAGATATCTAAATG